TCTGTCTGTTTCAACTCGACCCTCTCCAACAAATCCAAGAGGTACCCAGAAAGAAAGAAAGAAGGAAAAGAGGAATTCCAATTTCAAATCATGACTGCTCCAGTACCAAAACCATCAAAACTCTTCTGGTGCCTTGGGCAAACACCATTGAACCAAAAAAACTCCCAAGATGAAGCAAAAAAAAAAAAAAAAAAAAAAAAAAAAAACACAAAGATTCCCATTTTCTTTTTACTTTGGGTAAATGGTATGAAAATTTTATCTTTCTTTTTTTTTTTTAAATAAATAAATATATATATATATATATATATGTATAAGGGGACCCACGAACAGGAAAGAGCCAGGAGAATGGAAAAACCAAGTTGTAACACTTGCAAGGCAACTAGTAAAGGCCTGTAAGAACACACACCCAAACAAACCTTGAGGTGACATAAAGACTTGGATTCCCATCCTTTCCTTTTTCCAACATCCGTATCCCTACAGTTCTTCCTTCCCTTCCTCATAATCACATCCATCCATTTCTTCCTCCCTCCCTCCTCTGCAATTTTATTTGTCTTTCTTTCTTTCTCCCTCTTCCCTCATCTACTATTTCCAAACCCACCATCAACAGGAGCAGATAACAATTCGTTCGAGGAAAAATATTAGTGGTATAATCAAATGTGAGTTTTATCCGGGTACGTACCAGACAGACTGAAGAAGAAGAAGAAGATGAAAAGAAACTCTGCGCCGACAACAGCTGCAAATTCTTTTTCATTAAGAAATCTCCATTGCTTGGAGAACTTGGAGTCGGAAGTCACAGGCGTCTACGGAATGGAGAATCATAATCATAATCATAATCATAACCATAATATCAAGTAACGAAGAAAGAGTGGTTTACCTTGACGAGTGAAGTGCCTTCGGAATCCAACATACACCCAGAATAAAGGAGAAAGCCTATTCACACCACACTCTGCTTTCTACGTCGGAATCCCACTTCTACACTTCCCTCTCTCTAATGGAACCTTCACTGAAATAATGAGAGATGGCGAGGTGGCCTAAAACCCTTTTTTTTAATATATATTCATATATATATATATATATATATCCTCGTTAATTCTTTTTTAATTTATAAAAACCAGTAAATCATGAATTTCGTTCTAGCGTTGCGGCGTCAAAATATTAAAAAAAGAAAAACAATTGGGTGTAATAAAAACACTCTCCCCACTTTCACTCAAGCGCGTGTGTCACGCTCACTTGAAACGTGTGGTCAAGGTTCATTATCGTGTCCACGTGGAGTTCGGACCGACCAGTGAGGCACGCGTGGGACTCAGTGTACGTCGAGGCGCGTTCTCTGACTACTTGTGTCTTGTATGTACCTGGAAGCTGTCGTCGTCCCACGTTGGGATTTCCTAATCTTAATTAAACCATAATTTAATTTTATTAAACCACGAATTATTCTAGTTTTTTTTTTAAAATTAAAAAATATGAACTATAATTTTAATATAATTATTTTAATAAAAAGTTATACATGTGGTAGAGTAATTAACAATAATTTTATAGAAAGTAAAAATAATGATAAAAAAGTAAAATATCTGTGTAAATAAAGTTGATTTATATTTAGAAGAAATAATAAATGAAATATTAGAAAGGAAAAAAAAAATTAATGGTACGCTTATGTATTGCGCGTTATCTTTTTAATAGAATAATACATGTATAAATCACGCGTAACAACTCATTTACAATTTATATTATCGGATAATTGATCACGTAAATTTTATTTTAAGAATACAAAATGTGCAAATTTTGAAACGTGTTAATGTATAACGTACATATCAGTTAACTCTAATCTGTACACAACTCATGTAGTAAATGAGTCGTCTCTAAAATGCATGCATAACCTATTTATAAACAATTTATAATCATAAAATATTAAATGGGTTAACCAATTATAAACTTAAATGAACATATGACATATATTATACATGTTTTATCATGTTAGTACAAAGGTATATATATATATATATATATGAGATCATGCATGTGAACATATAACCACTTTGTTTGGTTTTGAATTTGAAATGTTAATTAGAATTTTCGAATAAATACATGTGTATATATATGTGTGTGTGTGTGTGTGCGTGGTGTGATGTAAGTAGAGTTTTGAAAGGTGTTTGAAAGTGGGAAGATTGTGGAGGGATAAAAAAAAAGGAGAAATATGGACCGTTGATTTATTACCAAATGATTAGATGGTAGTTTGTGGTCAAATAAATTGTCCAAGACAACGGGGCAAATAATTTGATGGTTGCTCTAAACCAAAATGGAATGTCGGGTTGGATTTTATTGTGGAATCTAAAGCTATGTCTCACATCCAAATGCCACCCATTTTAACTCTTACATATATATATATATATATATATATATATCGAAATACCCATTTCATGATATTATATGAATATCATTAGAATTTGTAAAGGATCTTTAAAAGTCCATAATCTTAAACTTACAATACATTAGATTTGTGAGGTATGTATGTATGTATGTATGTATATCCTAGATAAAAGGTGTAAATGCAACCAACGGTAATGGAATGGATAAGTAATTAGAGGTCGGCTTTTTATGTTTTTGTGCTAATGATTCAAGCCGTAGGAAACAGAATCGTATTCCAACTTAGTAATTATTAAAACTACAAAAAGTTTCTGAGTGAAGAATTTTTACAAGTTATTAGGGTTTTGAAAAAGTTTGCTTTTGTCTTTTCAATCAATTGGGATCACATGCTTCAATTTTATCTTCTTCTGTTTAATAAGGATTGATGCTTCGTAGAGAAAGGGGGAAATTTTTTGGTTTTGTGTTTAAGATTAGGGTTTGATTCCCCCAACCCATTATTAATTAATTTAATTAATGTGTCATTAAGCAATGATTAGTGATGAATCGTACATGGTATTTTTAGTTTTTATTTTTTTTTTATTATTTAGGTACGAGAATTATTTTAATAATAAATAGATAAAAAGTAATTATAAAAGAATATTAAATTTGTTTATGTTTTTTTTTAGTAAATTTTTTTGTAAAATATAATATTTATGGCAATTTAATATAAATAAAAATACACTAATATATATTTTATTCAATTAATAGATCGTATAACTGTATTTACAATATTTATAGAGATATCAAGTATTAACGTGAGCGTACTTTTTGATGTTACCATGTGTTAGAGCATAACATATTTGTGGTATCTTTTATTTGAGAGTTTTATCTCAGATTTATGTAGTGTATAAATATATGTATGTATATTATTTTATGTTCTTCTATGTGTAGGAAATATCTTGCTAAGAACTAATTTGATAACGTATTAAAATCAACATAACTTTTGTTTGGGATTGCTGAAGTTAAAATTTTTTGTTATAAAAAAATTATTTCTCTTTGTTATGATTATAAGCTTTTTCTTGTTAAAAAGCAAGTATAACGTGATATTCTAATCACACGTTAAAAAAATATATCATTGTTGAGTTACATATAATAGCTTAAATCATGCATTAATAATAACTCAAACTTAAGTTTTGTAAGGTTAATGGTTTGAGTTTCAAAAGTTGTTGGAGTAATAATATTTTGACCTATAGTGTTATAAATGATATCATACTATATGCAATTCGATGACTCTAACTGGTATGATCTTGGACCTTATAAATGTTAGTGATCTGTGATTGTGTACAGTGTTATAAATGATATCAGACTATATGCAATTCGATGACTCTGACTGGTATGATTTTGGATCTTATAAACGTTAGTGATATGTGATTGTATGATGTGTAATGTGTAATCTTGACGAAAATATAAACAAAATTTGAATGGTGAAAATTGTGATGTTTTAGCACTACATTAAAAATATATATGATTATTTAGCTTTTTATGAGAGGTTAAGTTACACGCTACTAACAATTTGAGTTAAAACTTTTGAGAATTAGTACTTTGAGTTCGAAAAATTGTCGAACAGTGGTGCTTGGGCTCGAGATATTAGGCGATGTTGAGGAAACTGATTTGATCAATGTTAATGTCTGTTAATTGTGTTTTGGAAGATGATATTAAGCAAGTCAAACATCAATCAACTCTGAAAAAAGAAGAAGAAGAAAGTAGAAAACCTATACCAAAATATATTATTCTTCATTTGATAGCAAATTTTGCAGCATGATTGAAATGTAAATTTAGTTTATGTAATGATATTTGTTTTTTACAAATGCCCTTAAATCAAAGTATTCTCTGCAGTACTCCTAACTGTTGGGATTTTTGTCTCATTAACTCTGCAGTTAAATATCATAGAAATGAAGACAGGATTGAGAAAAACAGCAGATTAGAGAATGATTTGATCATAGGAGCAGGAACTGGCCTTTGTGCTAAAATCCTTGAAACAAGAAGAGTTTGTTCAATTATTGCTTTGACAACTGTTTGAGACAAATTCATTGAAAAACTAGTTGAGGATAATTCAGAGGCAACTAAACAAAGTGGTACAGCTATCCTTGTCAAACCCTCATGAATGATTAGGGTTGAGAAGAGAGGAACATGTAATGTATGTGATAAGAGGACATGATTTCTTCTTGTGGCAAAGGACAGGTTGGTCATAAAAAATCTAACATTATCATATCTAAGATGCTAAACAAGCAGACACTTCCACTGATCTCTCCAAAATCAAAGTCAACCTCAGAGTCAAATGCAGGAATCTTATATATATAGATATAGATATACAGGCTGTATAGAGGAAGCCAAAGGCTCAATCATTCCTCACAGTGTTGGTAAGACCTGTTGGCTAGTCCAATTCCAAAAAGAGAAAGGTAAGTTAGTGGTAGAGACACAAGTCAATGCCCCCCACCTCAAGAAACCCTCTTGCTCTTCAAGTGCAGGTGTCTGTGCTAACGGTGGGACAATCTCCCCGTTTGTTGGCATGCAGATATGCCTACATCAACCAGACATCTCTGACTTCATGGAGACCCCCTTCTCTTACACTTTTTATTACCACTGTCAACTCTTCTTCAACTATTTTCACCTGGTCCTAATTCTTTTTGAGCCTATATTCTGGACAAATTTAGAATTAGTGTAAAAGATCTTTTTAATTGAGAAAAATTTTAATTTTTATTAGAAGATGTAAAGAATTATGCTCATATATATATATATATGTGAATTTAATAGAAATTAGAAATTCATTTTTTTCAATTTCATGTCAGATTCCATGTAATTCAATTTAAATCTTTTTAATTTGAGATAAGGGTGGATTTACAAATAAACTCCACAAAAATTCTTTACTTATCCCAAACATAACCCTTTTAACTCCCGTTGCGAAAAAAGGCATCGGCAATCAGAGCTTGATTGGCCAGTAAAAACTGAAGAAGATTTCAAGACTAAACCCTGTTTTAGTAATTTTCTCAAAACAAATGCACAAGGAAAAGGACTAACACTACTCAGCTTTGCATGCAACTACCAGAGGAAGAGATTGCAAAAGATAATCAAAATAACCTATTATATTGATGCTGGTCTGATTTGAGAAAAAAATCTGCCATTGATGAGGACTCTTATTTTCCAAGTAATTGAATGGGGATTCTATCTATTTAACATGAGAGCAGGCAACCTAATGGCAGATGGATTTCTCGTATATTAACTATCACAACCAAACCAATGTCATTTGTACAAGACCGAGTGGGAAGACCTAACATCAATGCCACGCATTTACTTTCACCCCTAAAAATCTACTCATTTTATTGAATAGACAATTCTTCTTAACGGGACATTAAGATAACTGTATCCTATACATAACCATTGCTATGGTGTATTGAACTTCCCATTCAGAAACTTAAGAAATAAAAAATTAGGAGGGACTTATGAACAGATAACTGCAAATGACAGCATTTGCAAAATGCACACAATTTATGCCATCTTTCTCATAGCTTTGTGTAGTGAGGTATAAATTGCTCTCCTGCATGATGGAGATGATCATTATCCCCTTCAAGAAGACGAACAACCTGTAAAGATACCTATAGTTGAGTATTTATGCGCAACGAAAATTTAATGGTAAGCTCGAAGTTCACAACATTAATAATGGGCACTAATTTTTTAGTCTTTCCATATTGTTTTCAAAAATTTTATTTTCTAAAGTTATTATTCAATGGTTAAAACTGTTTGTCACGAAAATGTTGTAAGCTTGAACTTAAATGATATCATCCTATATACAACACAAAATGAAACATGAATAGTAACAATAACAAAAAAATGTGCACCACTGTATGCATCATTATCTCCAGTCATCCAGAGATATAATTCTCGAGCACATTTGACATGCTTGCATGCATGTTTATCAATGTCAAGAAACTACTTATTTTCACTGGTTTTATAGGGTATGATGTCATCAGTCCCTAAATTTGCATTTTTGTTTGTTGCAAAGGGAATTTATCGTGACACATCAAAAAAGGAAATGTCAAAGACAATTACCTCTCCCATTGAGGGACGCATTTCAGGCCTTCTTTGAACACACAAGTATGCAGTTTTGGCCATGAGGTACAATTCGTATGTGTCATATAAATCTCCAATGCGGGGATCAATGAGCTCATGCAATGCAAGCGTTTCGATTATGGGTTCAGCCTAAAAAATTGTCAAGGAATATGCATGTCAACTTTAGATAAAAACAATGAGTAAAAGTTTCTTTGTGCCTGAAGGTTATCCTGCACAACAACAGTTTTAAATAATTATTGAAATAGAGGACCTGAAAAACTTTAGAAGGAATCATACCCATTGGCGTATAGATTGTTCTTGCCCTTCTCTTGCATCAATTACTTTCCGTCCAGACATAAGTTGCAGCAAAACAATGCCAAATGCATAGACATCAGTTCTTACTGAAACAATTCCATTCTCCGCATATTCTGGCGCAAGGTATCTGCAAGAACCAACATACTTTGCGTGATTTCATTCTGGGGAAACTAGCAATACATACTGCTTACTGATGATAATGTATGCTGCCTAGGGTTGTAGGAGATTACCCTAGTGTGCCAAGTATCTTTGTCTGCACTGGATCATCATTTGTCTTCCATCTGGCAAGGCCAAAGTCACCTAGCTGTGAGTAAGAGATTTTGTCCCATTAACCAAAGTCATCCAAAAAATTAACAAATAATTCAGAAATATGATTTTTAGAACTATAGACAATATTCTCCAACCAGTAAAAGATTAAGAAATCAGATAATATGAAATGCTCAGTACAGTCACTGATGACAATACAGCCACTTGAAATGCAGGATCTCTGACAAGGATGATAACATATTGGACGTTCTAATGATCAATTCTAAACCATTGCCCTTATTGCATATCCCAAGCAAAAAGAAGGAGTCTGAGAAAATATGTGAGATAAGGTGCTGCGTAATTGAAAAAGCTTGGAAAGGTCAGTAAGAGTTTACCATGGGAACATAGTCATGAGTCAGGAGTATATTGCTGGGTCGCATGTCTCGATGAATTATAGGGCCTCCACGACATTCTTCATGTAGGAAACGCAAACCTTTTGCGGTGCCAAGGGCAATAGCACGTCTTTGGTGCCAATCAAGACCAGGTGCTGTAGTGTCTATAAGAAATGTTATTTCCCTGCCTCTCTCCTCCACCCAAAGGGATTGGGGAGAGAAACAGAGAAAAGATAATTAATTCAAAATTCTGATGGAGAATTAAATAGAACCCTTTTACAGGATATGACTTAGCAAGACGAGACTGAAGTGGACTTGGGTAATAAATTAGTTATTACTTACCAAATAAATGCCAATAAAGAGACTGGTTGCAAATATACTCATACACCAAAATGTTTAGGTTCTCCTTGCAACAAGATCCCAACAGCATTACAATGTTCTTGTGGCGTGCAAAACTTAAGACATGCACCTCTGAATGAAATTCTGTAAATCCTTGTGTACTGGCTTCTTTTCGTACTTTTGCTGCAATCAGCTGTCCATCTTTAAGCTCACCCTTGTATACATAACCATATCCTCCTTCCCCTAATAAGTTCTCCTTTGCAAAGTCATTTGTTGCAAGCTGAATCTGAGGAAAAGTGAATTTCATGGAATCCTGGATATACAGTTCAGTTCTTGCCCCACAACCAGCACAAAGTAGAGGTGCTTCTGAGGACTTCTGCCGGATGACTTTATTTTGTTGCTTCAGTATGTTATTTGAAGCAAAGGAATATTCATGATCTCCTCTGATGTCTGGAGAAGCACGAATGTTATTTATTGAAACTGAGGGAAATCATTTAAAGGTAAAAAGATAATGTCTCTTGCTTCAGGAATTAACAGGTAACTGAAGAAGCACATGAGAAATCCGGTTTAATATGAAAGTCAATAAATTGATATATTATGATAAGAGGAAGTAGTTTATCCTCTTAACTATTCATACCTGAACTCCTTGAGATTGTATAATCAGGTAAAGGATGAAATTCACAATAAGATGAATGGTAATTGATAATATTAACTTCAATTTAGTGGTTAATAGAACAACACTCTTCAAGTGAAATTACTGCATACCTATTTATTACCAGCAATCCAGTTTATTGTGGAAAATTTCCAGTCACTTACAGCCACTTGAGCTTTGATAATATCATTACTTTCAAGTCTTTATGAATTAATAGATATGTGAGTTTCACTGTTTCTTCCATGAAAATTATCCACGTTCTTAATTCTGGTAAATAATAACTAAAATTTTAGCTTCTTCACTAACGGCTATCTTGGAGTTGTCTGCTGCTTACACGTTCTATTCCAGCTTGAAATATTGAAATACTGATCAAGCATAAGAACAGAGTTGATGAGACAAGGTTTCCTCATCAAAATCAATTGTACTAAGATTTCGATATATTATATTCAAATGACCCAATTTTTGCTTGTTTTGATGGGTCTTCTCTCAACATATGTTGAGTCTTTGTCCTAGAGCTTGATGGGATTTTCACTACTTTTATTTTCCTTCAATTTCAGTGTCCTCTTTACTAAACTCTGTGTTTCTTTTTTGTCTTCCCCTAATTCTGTCAGGTTCTTTTTATCTTTTGTATTTTTGTTTTTTGCATTTGTTGGCTGTGCAGGGTGAACGTGTGGGCTTGTCTGTGTTTCTTTACGGGTATGTTCACTCATCCCACTCACGGTGTCCAACTCATCTCCTAGCACTCAAAGTCCCTCATTAACTAGGATTGAAACAACTGTTCTAGACTTATCGTCTCATGTATGGAGGCAAGGTGCAAAGTTATTTCCTCTTCTGGGAGAATTCACACAGAAAGGGTGCTATAACAAAGCCACTAAAGATATACTTAGGAAGAGGGGCGATATTGGGAATAAAAGTACAATGGAAAAAAGGTTAAAACTTTATAGGGTAAAGTAGGTTTTTTCACCACTCGCACAGAGAGTTCTTGGGAGATGCCATTTGTAGGCTGTTGAAACTGCAACAAGTTACAGTGGTCGCAAGCTGTTGAAATTGCAAAACAAGTTGCAGTAGTTGTAATGGGCACGTCCTTCCCGCCCAACTCAGCCCATAAATAGGCCTCCAGTCTGCATGAGAAATCAATGAGTCATTCCATGTAACTCTCTTTCTCTCTCTCTGATATCTTTAACATTCCAACGGATGATTTTACTAATCATCTTCAACCGTCACCATCACATTCCCCGCCTTTTCTCACACCTTCTAATCCTTTGATTCTTTCTCATAATTAATCGAGTTCTCTAGTCGCTTAAATTCCCTACTCTTCCTTTTTCTTATTTTTTTTTTCTTGATTCATTTATTCACAATCCTGCTATGGCACTTAACAAGGTCTCTTTCCTCTATGCCATCGAACAAATCTATAACTTGGCTTTCGAGACCCTCAAAACTTACTCCAAATTTAGTAAACCTTCTAAAGCAGCTTAATACCCGTTCTGATTCCAGAGACGGCACCTGAAACCCACATGATTGTTCTGACTCCAAATGCGAGAAAATATCCCCCTCCATTATAGCACCATTTTCCACCTCTTCAATATTCCAGCGGCACTCTAACTATCCCGGAGAAGAAGTACAGATTGGTTGAGGGAGCAAGAGGATGGCTCTAGTGAGAGGAACTGACCTGGGAAAATGAAGCTTTTCCACAGAAAAAGACGTTACACCAACTAGCCTCACCGGAAAAACAGCTAAAGCCTCCGGCCCTCACCGAAACAAGGAAAGAAGAAGACCCCAAGGAGGAAAACAACGACGACTCGGAAGATCAATCGGGCTAATTGCATTAGCTGATTCCCTATGCTTCTGGGTTGGGCTTTCGAGTGTGCCAATCTGGACTTTGGTTTTGACCCATTTCTGCTTCTATTTTTAGTAAACATGGGCTTAAAAAGCTCAATCCGATTAGGATTGCAGGACTAGTACAGTGGTGAACAGATCGCCGGTCGCATCCTCATCGCTCCATACTGGGTTCCCTATGACTTCGCTCTTCCTTCCAAAGCAGGTTCCATATTGTTTTCTTTTTATTAAAAAATTTACAATTTAGTTTTCAGTCATTGTACCATCACAATCTTTTAGAAAAAAGTTTTCCCATCCCTCTCGTTCTTCTCTTGATCTATCTCTTCCTTCCTCTCTCCCCTCCTTTCCATGTTCATCTAACTATCATACATGACTTTCTATCAAAGGTAGGCTGTCCTACATCAACAAGTACAAAGGAATAAGGCTTTGACTTGTTCCCAATATGAGTTACGTAGACTGTATATGCAGCAAAAAGTTTTGTAAATGTTCACAAACGTACTAGTTGAGAAGATAATATATCCCAAAAAAGATGCATATATGTTGGGTTTTCTGACCTGATTTTTCTTGCTTGTGAGAATTCGCAAAATCTGACAGATGAGTATGTTCTCGTGATTTTGATGAAGACATAGGCTGATGAATAATACTCTTATGCATATCAGAGCTTTCCAGGGAACCTATTGATAAAGAATAGTTTCCAACAGAGATGACTGACTGCTCTTGGTTGGCACTACCTTGAGACAGCAATACAGGAACAGGCTTGGACATTGAGTAAAACGCCTTATGGTCTATTGGATCAGTTTCATTTGTCACCTGAGCTCTCAAAATCTGCACGATCAAGCTGTCTTGAATCCATGCAACTCTACTAGGTATCTGCTTCAGATAAAATCTCAAATCCCGTCTAAGATGCCTGCTAATATCTTTAAGTTAGCAGCCAAGCTATTATACACATGAAGCGTATAGTGACAATCAACTACTTAAAAACCAGGTTGACCTAGAGGGAAAAGGAAACAAATGCATCATTTAGGTATTGATGATTCTTAGTAGAAATAAAATATCAACCATATTACAGACAAGTACCTGTCAAGTACAACCCACGTTGCTTTACACCCTACCACTTCTTGTAAAATCACTTTCCTAAGCGGAGTTCCTGCTGTAACTTTAACTTCAATGCATACCTGAAAATGAGAAGTAAATCAAATACATGAAGTGAAAAGCTATGCATAAAGGACACTTTGCAAAAACTTAAGCCAATACTTCCATCAAGATGGACATGGAAAGGTATTATTCCTTAGTGATAATTTATTCCACGTCTGACAGGGGCTGGACTGCAATTTATTTCTAGTAGCTAGAGTAGTAGAAATACTCACCCCAAGGGGAGAAAACACAAATGACAGCATGGAAAAACTTGTCCATTTTCTACTACCCCAAGGGGAGAAAACACAAATGACAGCATGGAAAAACTTGTCCAACACTAAGTTCAAGATGCTGCTACAAAATATCAAACAAGGATGCTAATAGAATACATTTGTTATTGTTAGACTTAAAAAAAAAAAAAACCATACAACAGCTTGATGCAGCCAACTCACTTCTAGTAACCTTTCTTATGTTAAATTCAACATTCAAAATGTAAAAACTAAAGCTAAAATACAAAACCAAAAATAAGCTTGATGTAAAAACTATGGATTTTAGAGACTTCTTTTCCACAAGTGAAAATACAAATTTGTTGTTATAGAAATAGAAATATATTTCTCTCTTGTGGAATTGAAGACATTATGAAATTGATTCAATTTATATAAATCATGACTAAATTATACATGTCAAATGATTCCACTAACTATGATTTACCCACCTATTTGATTTGTTACAGGGTCGCAGAAGCAAGATGTTGCTCCCAGCAAAAATATGACAGACTGTTTTACTCATTATTATTTTCAGTAACTTTGTACTAGTTTAATAATTTATAAAGATGGGCCTTCTCATGGTTTCTTTCAGAGAAATATGGTGTCTAGAAGAAATCGTGAGTTGAATTACCCCTTCATCTTCACAGTCTTCTGCACTTTGCAAGAGCATATTTACATACTGATCAACTTTCTTCGTAACTTCCTCTTCAATAGCACGATCAGTGGCGCCAAAGAAAGATTCCGAACATGGCTTGAGCGTGTAACCCACTATTAAAAAAATGAAAAGAAAGAGAATTGCATAGTGAGATTATATATAATAGCCATTTGATGTTACTGAATATGCTAACAGCTCATTCCAACTTCATCTTTATGATAATTCAGCATAGGATTATGGCTATAAGGCAAGAAGCAATTCGTCGAACACTTACTGGGATGAGGCACCTTGTGCAAAACTGCAAGCACGAGAAGCGTATCGCCAGGACGAAGAATGTCCCCTCTCATCCGCAAACCATGAACAGTGAGCTCGAGCTCATGCTCGCTGCGATCTTTGGTAGCATCATAAGCGATCACAACATGAGACGGCGACGGAGGAGCCTCCATTGATGAACAAACAGGGTTGGAAAAATCAACTAGGCAAGTATTTCCTACGAAGCTTGTTCGGGAAGTAAGAGATTGAAGGTGACTGGTGAGAATTTAAAGGGGGAAAGCCAAATAGGGTTTATCAGAGAATTGATTAAAGAACATGGGAATGAGGATTAAGATGGATGACCCAATGAAAGGCAGTCTTCTTGCACTCTGTTGGATCTGCATTATTGGGAAGGGAGAAGATTCTAAGGATATCAGAGGAGATATGCTTTCGGATATTCGAATCAACTTACCAGAGAAGAGCGGGAAATGGTGCCGTCTTTCAACAAGACAATCAGAAGATGGCAATGTCGTTAAAGACAGAATGCTTCTCTTTTGTTTATTCCATCAATTTAAAGCAGTGCTTGGCAGTGGTCAAATGTACAGAGAATCCATGGCAGGTCGCTTCTGTGCTGGATTCAGATATTACAGTAGGGGAAATAATTCAAATGAGAAAACGCAAATTAGATTTGATAAATGTCCTTGTCATTTTTATTCTAATATTTTCAAATTTTGAATCTGTTATTTTCTATTTAAACCAACCCCTTTACTCAAAAGCCAATAGAATTAGTACTCTACATACATGATAAAATTATATTTGTTTCAACTTTCAATCAGATGAGATAGTAACAAACGGTATCCGACTGACATATTTTGAATGAATTTTAAAAATTACCGAATCGTTAGTATATGACGAATAAATAATCGTATTTTCTGTTATCTCTCAGAAATTATATTTAATTTCTGTTATAACCTCTAAAATAAATAATTATTTCAAATATATTTTATTTTTTCAAATAATTTTATATTTAATATAATAATATATAATTACTATTATTTATTTTTAATATATAAATAATTTTATTTTTATTAAATATAAAAATTTAATTTAATTATGTAAAATATTTATTTATTTAAATATAAATTTAATTATATTTATATATATATATATTTTTTATATATTATTTACTATTATATATAATAAGTTAAAAGTAAATTAGTAATTTGATTGAAAATACAATTATATCATCCAAACATTAATACACAATCATTTAAACATAAATTTTTTTTATCATTCTCATATTGTGTTATTATCATTCAATCATTATTATTATCATACATTAATTATTCATCATTATAATTTATTTAAATAAAATTTAAAATTTTCATATTTTGTTATACTACTTCTATTTAAAGAGATTATAAATTATAATTTATAGATATTAAAAATATATAATAATTTATTATTTATATATGCAGTACCATAAAATCAAAATACATTTGTCAAATATAATTTATAATTTATAATTAGTTTGATTTGATAAACACAACATATCTACTCGAGTTTCAGTTTGTTAAATAAATTCTATTTAGATTTAGTTCATATTTATTGTCAAAATTATAATTATCCGAACTGGTTATAACGTAGACGAAGAAATTTTAGACATTCAAAGAAGTTGCAGAGATTTCAATCATTGATTAATTAAATTTGAGAAATATTTTATTAATCAAACAGGAATATCAGTTGGATAGTCTTGTGGATATCTCTGTACAGTATCTCTTAGCTTCTTCTCCTGCTCTCGGAGGTTTAATGGCGGAACATCATAGACATTTGTAAACAGCTCTGCAAGAGCAGGTTTCTCTGTCTTCTCTGCAATCTGAATTGCTTGCATTACCTGAAAATTTAACAAGTATTACGTTCTCTTTGTACTACATACGTTTGCATATGTATTAATATTTACCTGTTTCTTAACATTGCTTCGTATCTCAGCTTCGTCATTCTCAGTCCACCAACCATTCATTTGAATCCATTTTCGAAATCTACCAACAGGGTCTCGAGCCATTTTCCAGTGTTGGATTTCATCCACCGAGCGGTATTTTGTTGAATCATCAGATGTTGAGTGGTGTCCGACTCTGTAAGTGAGAGCCTGAGAAGAGGAAGAAGAATTCAACAGATCATGAATTGGAAGTTCAAGAAATCTTCAGTTACCGAACCAGGTCTATTATCAGATCATCACCTCAACTAAAACAGGTGTTTGTTCAGTAATGGCAATTTGTCGAGCTGCACGAATTGCATTGTAAACAGCGAGCGCATCATTTCCATCAACACGTATGCTCCGAATTCCATAAGCTTGCCCCTTAACCACCACCCCATCGCCTGCAAAAAAAAAAAACTAATCTGATGAATTCATTCGTTCATCTTATTAGTTTCTCTTCAGACCCAGATGAAAATCATACTGCGAAACTGTTCTGATGTTTTAGTACTAATGGCCCAGCCATTGTTGCGACAGAGAAAGATGACAGGAGATTCTGTAACAGCTGCAAAGTTGAGACCCGCATGGAAATCTCCCTGAAACAACATTATTTACAACATGAACAAATTGGAGTTCCAAAAGGGAAAAAAAGCTTTTGTGGATTGCTGATCACCTCACTGGTGCAACCATCCCCAAAATATGCAACAGCGCACGCTTCCTTCTTGTCCATTTTCAGAGAATAAGCAACCCCCACCGCTTGAGGAAGTTGAGTACTGATAAACCCGGAGTAAAAATATTAAAACAGCGCACTGTTATATATACATACACATGTATATATTGGAGAAAGTAGAAATGGGGAGTGAAGAAAATGTTACCCAATTGGCGAAGAGATGGTGAAGTAGTTGTGAGATGCAGAGCCATAATGGATTGGCATCTGTCTACCTTTCCCATAATCATGCTTGTTACTGAAACACTGGTTGGCAAATTCTTGAAGCGTGAATCCTCTCCACAGTAAAACTCCAGGTTCTCGATACTTCATTTTCCGCCATTAATAAAATTACAAACTGTACAAGCAAACTAAATTTATCTTAACTTTTAAGTAGTAATAATTAGTCACCTGAGCCAAGACAATATCATCGGGGGTGAGTGCGGCGGCGGAGGCTATGTTAATTGCTTCTTCTCCAAAGGTGGTGAGATAGAAAGATATTCTTCCTTGTCTCTGTGCTTCGTACAATATGGTGTCCATTGTTTGAAGAGTCACCATGTTCGTGTACATCTTCACTGCCAGTTCCTCGCTTACCTTCATAGATTCTTAATGCTTTTAAGCCATTTCAATTCGTATATTTCTTAAAAACTAAATAAGTAAAGAGAGAAAGTGAAGATATATATATATATACCGGGTGAAAATGAGTGTCTTCAATTTGTTGTCCATTGTCGTCGAGAAGTCTATAACATGGTATTCTTTTCTCAGGCGAGTGTTGAATGAATTTTAGTTGACAAGTAAATGTCACCTTTCCTCCTGGAAAATCGAGTTCCTGTCACATTTTTAAATTCGATTATTTCATTGCTTTGAATTCCAAACTTGATTGTGAGTGACTGTTAGAAGTTTCCCTAAAATTTTTTTATGAACATCAAATATTCATTGCAGTTGTCAATAAAAGATAAACCAGTATCGTGCACATGGTAAGTTTCCTATTTGTTGTGTAGGCTGAGAAGTACCAAGTTGCCTAATTTGAAATAGGAAAGTAGGAAAGATCAGTAGAAAATTTGAAATAGGAAAGTAGAAAACTTGTGGAGAAAATGGTAGGGGCCGCCTACCAGTAGGTATGGCAGGATATTTGGGTTTACCCACTAATGGCGTGGCTGGATAGGCATCAAAAGAAGCCAATTCCAAGTGAAACTACTATTCAATTATCTTACTTTACTATACATATATATGTGTGTATATATATATATATATATTATATTGGATATTTCATTCAATTCTCGGTGGGTGTCAATCTTACTTTAAAATTATGGGAAAAGTTGCAATGATTATTATGAGAAATTAATCCAAAAACATGTTTATCAAGTAAAAAATTCAAATTCGTTTTTGTAAACTATTTTTTTTTTTTACTAAATAGTTGATAATTTAATTTTATTTTATTTTTCTATACAATATATGTCCAAGTTCTGAGTTTTAAGTTTTATATATAATCATTTGAAGTTACTTTCTCTATGCTCTTTTCTGTCCTTAATTATTATTATTCTAACAAATATATAGATACTTTCTAATGCAAAAAATTGGAAGGGTTAATTCGTATGATATATATAGATATATATATGTATATATATACATAAGGGTAGAATTGGCATGTAAGGTGTAGTGCAGGGAGGAGTGAAGAAAGAGTACCTGGTTATGATTATGGTGTTGAGTAGCATGGTGTAGATCAAGCTGGTTTTCAGCTACAGTAGTCGTGATGAATCGGCAAAAGGAGAGAAGACTGGTATTACTGCATGGGAACGAAGATGAAGATGAAGATGAAGATGAAGATGCAGAGGCAACGCTTTGGTTGAGAAGATGAGCAATTGTTCTTGATGATCTTCTCATCAACCTAATTGCCATGTTGGAAATGAGGTATAAGACGATAGAAGAAGAAGAACATATGTATATGTGTGTGTATATATATATATATATAACCCCAAAGGAAGTCATATGGTTGGCTTATCGTCGCTTTCCTTGAAGTGAATATAATCCCATCTTGGAGGGAAGCCTCTTTTCGTCATTTGGGAGTTGTTTTCTCTTTCTGTTCTGTATTTATGTATAATTTGTATTATAATGGAAGAAAGTGAATATATATATATATATATACATATACATATTAATTATTGTGGAGATGGTGTAAAATTCGAAAATCTTCAAAAATACGATTATTATGGTATGACAAACAAGATCAAATCGTTGTCTAGCTAGCATTCTCATCTACTCACGCAGACCACCCAGATCATCACCATCTCATTTACTTTGAACTTCGTACATGCATGCATACCCACCACGTGGCATGCCTTCAACCTAGCTTTTTCCCTCTCTCTCTCTCTCTCTCTCTCTCTCTCTATATATATATATATATAGATATATTTCATTTAAACTAGATTTTTCTTCTCTTTTAGGCACATATTATACAGTGTAAATGTTTGTTTTTTTAATGGTATCACCTGATGAAAGATATATCACTGTGAAAAAAATGTTATTTACCTCACAAACTTCTTAAACAATTCTTTTTCAGAATCCACTAAAGCTTCAACGCAAAAGATAAATTTCGAAAGCACATGATTTACGTATAATATTGTATATAAAATCTTATTAATTATAATAATTGTATATTAAATTAAATACTAAACTAATTATCAATTACCCAAAAAAAAAAATAAGAGTAGAATTTCAAAACAAAGTTGATATAAAATCAAATAACCATTTTCATATTGAATCAAAATCCGACAATGAGATTTATAATTTTGTTAGAAGTATTTTGTAACATTTGATGAATACAACACAAATACAGATGTCAGAGGTTATCAGAAACTTCTCCAGACTATAATATGCCTGAGGTTTGAATTTTGTAGGGAACTATCCTGTCTTTTACAAGTGCATGGCAGTCAGTACTGCTTCTATACTCAGTCGCCTCCTTCAACATAAGACTACGAAGCCCCGTACAGAATCCAGTGGCACTAAAGCCGTAATTAGTTCAATCCTTGTTCATCTCAAAGTTAGTCATCTTCAGAAGGCTGTTTCCATCCTCTTTGCATTCCCAGACTCTGTACCTTACTCTTTGTACGCGCACCTCCTCCACCTTTGCTCCTTAAAATCAGCCATTGTAGAGGCCCGTAAAGTCGAATCTCACTTGATCTCCTTTTCCCCCTCGCCACCGATCTTCCTCTTGAATCGTTGTATCGAAACCTACGGAAAATGCAGGTCTTTGGATGATGCAAAGGAAATGTTTGATGAAATGCCTCAAAGAGACGGTGGGTCTTGGAATGCCATAATTACAGCATATACGCGAAATGGGTACCCCGAAAATGCCTTGCATTTGTTTTTGAAGATGACTAGGGACGGAGTTTTGGCTAATGAGATCACGTTCGCTAGTGTTCTGGGGTCTTGTGGTTTGATTTGCGAGCTTGGTCTTTCGAGGCAAATTCATGGGCTTATTGTGAAGTATGGGTTTTTGGAGAATGTTATTCTGGGAAGTTCACTTGTGGATGTGTATGGGAAGTGTGGGATTATGAGTGATGCACGAAGAATGTTTGATGGGATTGAGAACCCAAACGCTGTCTCTTGTAATGTGATTGTTAGGCGGTATCTTGAGATGGGTGAAGAGGAGGAGGCAATTGTCATGTTCTTCAACATGTTCCGAGAGGACATTAGGCCTTTGAATTTTACCTTCTCTACTGCTCTTATTGCTTGTTCAGGTTTGTGTGCACTCAAGGAAGGAAAAGAGATCCATGGAGTTGCAATTAAATTTAATCTTGAAAAGGATATGGTCGTTTCCAGTTCTCTCATTGACATGTATGTGAAGTGTGCAGAAGTAGAGAGTGCACGTAGGATTTTTAACCAGCTTGGCTCAAAAGATGTGATCACTTGGACTTCAATTATCTCAGGCTACGTGATAAATAGAAGAACTAGAGAAGCAAGGGATATTTTTAATGAGATGCCTGAACGGAATGTTATCTCATGGAATGCAATGCTGGCAGGATATGTCCGGATAGAAGAATGGGAACAGGCTGCGGATTTTCTTCTTCAGATGCGCAATGAATTTGATCATGTTGATTCTGTTACTCTTGGGTTAATTTTAAGTATCTGTTCTGGCCTTTCAGATGTTGAAATGGGCAAACAGGTTCATGGGTTTGTCTATCGACATGGTTTCTGTTCCAATATCTTTATTGGCAACAATCTCCTGAACATGTATGGAAAATGTGGAAACCTGAGAAGTGCTAGAAATTGGTTCTATCAGTTAAATCAATGGAGGGATAGAGTTTCTTGGAATGCTTTGTTGAGCAGCTATGCTCGCCGTGGTCGGAGTGAACAAGCCTTGTTATTTTTTGGAGAGATGCAATGGGAGGTGAGACCGAGTAAGTTTACATTTGGAACCCTTCTAGCTGCTTGTGCAAATATATTTGCAGTCAAGCTAGGCAAACAAATCCATGGTTTCATGATCAGAAATGGTTATGATATAGATATTGTTATTAGAGGAGCTCTAGTAGACATGTACTCTAAATGTCATTGTCTTGACTACGCTCTCATGGTCTTCATGGAGGAAGCTTCGCATGATGTGGTTCTTTGGAACTCTATGATTTTGGGATGTTGCCACAATGGAAGAGGTAGGGAGGTGCTTGAATTGATTAGGCTGATGGTAGAGGACGGAGTTAAGCCGGATCATGTAACCTTTCAAGGTATTTTGCGAGCCTGCGTATATGAGTGTCAACTTGAATTGGGTAGGAAGTATTTTAATTCAATGTCAGACGAATATTTTGTCATACCTCGACTTGAGCACTATGAATGGATGATTGAGCTCTACTGTCGTTGTGGCAGTATGTACGAGCTTGAGAATTTTGTCAAGGCGATGCCATTTGAGCCCACAACAAGAATGATGATTAGAATCTTGAATGCATGTCAAAAATATGGATTCTTGAAGTTGGGGGAATGGGCTGCTAGAAGACTTAATGGATTGAATAATTCAGTTCCTATTTCATGTTGAAACCAGACAAATGACCAAATCAGGGTAGTTAATGACATGGTAATTGAAAATACTGCTTTATCTGCATTCACTTTTGCAAGTGAGCAAATGATTTGGATGCAAAATAGGCGCCAAGAGATTGATTCCTTCTACTTGGCTAAACTTGGAAAACGGAAGAAAGAAGCAATTTTGAATGGCAGAAATGTGTTTGTGAGAGAGCAACAAAAAATATTATTGTCATATCCACTATTGATTTAAATGTAATTGTAAATAGCACATAATTACATATGTTATCATAATTTCATATTAAATATTGAACTTTTCGATTAAAGAAATTCTGTCAATGTCAGTTTTCTACTTGATAATGTCTTTCTTTCAAACAGTAAATTAATGCAGGTTATATATAAGCGGCTAACTTTAAAGAATGACAAGAAAAATCGAATCACATCACTTGGGGCAATCGTATGGATTAGATCACATTGTGGATCTTGCTCATGGTTTATCTGAGTCTTTTTAACAACGCGATGATTCTTAGGGAAAACTTAAGTTCTACATGAATATTTTACTAATCCTATTTACTTAAAACTTGTCTCCTCTGCAATATAAGTAGAGGTGTTCAGTAATATAGAATTAAATCGAATTAGACCGATAACTGTTAAAGGGTAGGTCCTGATCAAAATGGAGCAAAAATGGAACGAAATCGGTCCACTTCAGTCTGAACTGAGATTGAACCAATATGGACCAATTTTTTCGGTTTCTGAGTATCCGGATCGAAAGCTGGACCAAATAATGTTTGGTTTGATTCAGTGTAGCCTGATCCAATTTTCCAGTATGAACCAGAAATTGAACATCTCTAGATTCAACAGCCTCAACCTGCATTTGGATCTTGCTCTCCACCAGCATTCACTTTTCAGTCAAGTAGAGAGCACCCATCTTCATCCTCCATCTCCAAACTCAATAAATTGAGTATCAAATAGATATCCTGGCTCCTGTTATGATGCTGCAACTGATCAGCCCTGAAAGCATATACATGGTATTTCATTGCAAACCAACTGAGTCCAATTACTTTTCTCCCTTGTTTCTGTCTCATTTCTTTCCTGACGCGAACCACACCTTCCCAGTGTCCCCTCATCTCATATGCTTTAGCCAGCATTGAGTATGGTAACATTGACTGCGGATCCAACTTGATCATCCTCTCTGCTAGTCTTT